TTCATGCCCATTTTCGTTAAATATTTCTCTTGCCTTAATAGCTTTTTCATGAAGCTCCTCTTCCTTGTGTGCTGTTGAAATCAAATTATCTACGTACAGATTCTCACGGATCTCTTTTGCAATTAGTTGATCGAGGACAAAGTGCTCTAAATGGTAGCGTATCGTCCCAGCGTAAGAAAGGCGACACATTCAATCCAAATGTTATCCTTGTAAATCTGTAATAACGATGTAGTCTTCTCCAGCAGGTAAATTAATTTCGCGGACCCTTAGGAATCCTGTGGCATCGCGATCAAGTTCATGAAAATGAACTCACAGGAATGCTTTTTCCACGTCTGATACGGCTGCAAACGGTGCCATTCTGAAGCGGAGCAACATTGCATACAGTTCAGAAAGAATGAGTGGTCCTTGGTAAAGCACATCATTCAGTGATGGGCAATCCTTGAAATGAGATGCGGCATCGAAAACTATAAAGTTTTGTTGTCACCTTGTGCGGCGTAATCATGGGTTGGTGAGGCATATAATGCGAATGTTTTCCGACAGCTGCTCGATCACCAGGTGTTTCTTGAATTATCTCCTTTTCAAACTGATCTTTTATGGCTTTGTCGTACGTTTGGAGTAGGTCTGACTTCGACTTCAGCATGAGAAGTATGTTGGTGAGTCGTTCCTTCGCTATGGCTCTATTGTTTGGAAGGTAGGGATGTCTTCTTTGAATGGTAGCCTTACATAGTAGCCATCATCGCGCCTTGGTATAGTGTCGTTGAAAAACTGTACGACCTTTGTACTGGTAGCCTCATGTTCTGCGTCCTTGGTACCCGTAAATTCACAGACGCCGGCAGAATCCATGGTCCAGTACTTATCCCAACGATCCCTATCTTCTTCAAATTCCGCTTCGAAGTTTGTAAGGACTGGACCATTGCTGTCGCGCGCTGGAGGCCTTGAATGTACTTTCTGACGCTTCATTAGCTCTGTGTTGCTTTCCTATAAGCAAATATATAAACTTGGAAGGAATTAGAAGCAGTGCTGATGGTAGCGTGTACTGTGGTGAAACAGCCTCTAAGAAGTCCCATAGCTGATCACACCGTAGCAGGATTTCGGGGCAGGAATCGCTTGTCTGCCTCCTGGACAGCTGTATCTTATGTTTATTGAAAGGCTTGTTCTTGTGGGCTTAGGCTGGCTTCTCCCTTTTCCTGTTAATACGGGTGTTGCAAAAAGGGTCGAGGTATGAAGCTGACCTTCGCGCTGGCAGATCTTGACATGTGTCGGTCCATAGTCTGCACATTTTGGTACTGCGGTGCCATGTGTAAGTTTGTACACATTTTATTTTGGCGGAAT